CACACACACACACACACACACACAGGGACACACACAGCGGCACACACACACACGCACACTGTGTGGCACAACAATGTTTTTTTGTTGTGGAGTTGTGACCAGCGAACATGACAACGCACACATGTGATAATTGGTGGAAAACACCCACCCCAAAAACATAGCTAAAGGACCCCGGAACTCGAGGATGTATGTCCTCTCCAGCACCCCTATTTTTCTATTTTTCTATTTTCCTTTTTTTCTTTCTATTTTCTTTTTTCTGTGTTTCCTTTGTCTTTTCTCTTCTTTTCCGTTTTTGTCGTTTTGTTTATGGGGAAATTCGTCTGGCGCCCCTGTAATTTCCATTATTTTGCCTCCCGACAGACCACCTTCCCTGCCGCGGCCTCTGGAGCCTCTGGGCTTTCCTGCATGTCCCTGTCAGCAAGGGGTGCAGCTTCCACAGTGCCCTTACTGGAGGGCTAGTCCCATTTCACGGGTCCCTCTGCAATATGCCGTCATGAGCAGTATGCATCTTTCCGTCATACCCCTGAGTCGGAAATTCGGATTTGAAGCAAATGGTTTTTGTGGCCCTACCGCAAAAAATGATCCGTGTGTGTGGGTGCCACTGGGTGGCGCTACCACAAAAAATGTGATGCTTTTTGTGGGTTGTTTGGGGCTCGTTTGACACTCCTTGGGGCGTCCTCCGGGCCCAAGGAAGTTTCCTTGGGGATTTTCAAGGAAATTCCCGCCAACGTTCCACCTGTCCTCGGGGACGTCGCCCGAGGACATTTCCTTGGAACCATGTCAGACAAGAAAAAAGAAAAGAAAAAAAAATCATGTGTTTGAGGCCTTCAGCCAATAGGGTGCCGCCACGATCCAGATTCTCTGTTGTAACATCTCTCTACCCATGTGCCGGCTCCTCTCCGTGAAACGCGGATTCGTTTTGCCCAAGGGACCTCGTGAGGTCCCTTGGGCAAAAGGAAGAAATGGCTGTGGAATCCTCGGAGCCCAAGGAATTTCCTTCGGAGTGTTCACTGCATCCCCGAGGATAGGTGGAACGAACAATTCCTCGGGGACTTTAGGCGCCCGAGGAGTGTCGAACGAGCCCCTTT